TTTTTTTTAGAAATTAAGATTGTGCATGTTCTATGCTGTTTGAAAGAAAAGCTCCACAAACCCTGTTATAGTTTTTTCATTATTCAACTAATTCAACCATTGACTCGTTTTGTTCCATGCATTTTGAAAGAAAAGTTCCGCGAATCCGCGAATCCTGGTTTAATTTTTCCAATATTTAACTAATTCAATCATTGACTCGTTTTATTTCACAAATTGCCTCGTTTTTTGTTCAGAAATTATCCCTCCGTACGCACACATACTTTTTGAGTACACCAAACACACACTGGGTTGTATGATACCCCAAGCATTTATTGTTGGTTCTTAACACAAAAAAAAAAAATTACACGTTTAGGATATTAATAGATGTTTATTTGTTCAGAAATCAAAACTCAATACTTCAAAAAGTATTATTTTTGTACTAAAAAACAAATAAATATTCTGTTACACTTCACCCATGCACAAAATTAAATAATTAATAATTAAATGCTTCAGTGGAAAAATAACTCTCTATCAATGAAAACGAATATTCTCGAATAAAATCTGATAAATTGTCTTATCAAAAAAGCAACATATAATACAAAGAAAAATTCTTATAAAATTATTCGATACCTACATACAAAAAGTATATACACAAATAAGTTACGCGCAACACACACTGGGGTATATTTGACCCCGCGACCTACTAACACGCTTGTCAGTCATAAACTAATAAATGCTTGATCCTGCCGTTTGGGGTTTAGGTAGTGACAATGGCTTCATTCACGATCTCCTCAAAGGTAAAAAGAAAACTCAGCCTATCCAATGTACTTCTGACGCCGAGAAAGTTTTTCTTCAAGTCAAACAGGCACTTGTTTTCGCACCTGTCCTAAATCAACCTGATTTTTATTTGCCCTTCACTATGCAGAGTGATGCTAGTGATGTTGGACTTGGAGGTGTCTTCACCCAAATTATTGGTGGTGTCGAAAAAGTAATAGGATATGCTGGTAGGTCTCTCACTGAAGCGGAACGAAACCTGAGTGCAACTCAGAAGGAATGTCTGGCTCTCTTATTTAATATCGATCGTTTCATGGGTTATATTGAAGGTGTTAAATTTACGGTTGTCACTGATCGCCAAGCATTGTTATGGGTTAATAATCTTAAAAATCCCACTGGAAAACTTGCACATTGGGCTATGAAGCTGAGGACTTATACTTTTGATTTGGTTCACCGTAAAGGTAGAAACAATATTGCGCCTGATGCCTTATCTCGTATCCCAGAGTGTCTTCCGGAGGTTTCTCTTATCGATTCAGTTCCCGAAAATCTTGACCATTGGTATGTCTCCTTGAGACAAAAAATCCTTCAATCTCCCGATCATTTTTTCTGTGTACCGTTATTGACTACTTTTCTCTATCTACCGCTCTATCTTTATCTATATCTCTATCTTTCTTACATTGCTATTATTTTGCTGTTACCGAGGCTGTTACCGTTGTGGCGTTGAACAATGGTCTAATACAAACAGTGGCATATTGCTTAACCAAATAAATGGTTACAATATGTTCCTATTAGGGAATGGTTGCGGGCGGAATTGCCTTTCTTCAGTGAAGACTTTGTCTTTGCCGAAGAACAACCAAAAACCCAAAATTTTGGATTAATTACCAATTATTGATATGACTACTCGCTTTTGCTCCAGGATGAAGTTATATCGAATTTTCCTCTATAAGGGCTGTGCCGACTTCTGTTTAGTGATTTCTCTTGTCCGTTGGGGGAAATCAGTTGTACAGGCTGCTGCATACCACCTTAGTGACACAGGCTTGGTAGCAGGCGTTAGAGTCGGGTGGTTCTTTGGGAATAACGGTGCTTTCAATGGAAAGGGCCATTCTTGAGATAATTACATTCCTAGGTGTGTTCTTCCGCACACTGACTTCTTTTTCTATCCCTTCTTGATTGAGCCTTTTTACGGATAACTTGTATATGGCGGCTGATCCCCGTTGTATGCAAGGGATGAAAGGTCTTTCTTACTTCCTCTCGGGAACTCCGCCCAGAACTAAATACTTTACATATAAATTGGCTTTCATCTTTTCACTGCATGGGGTCTTTCCCTGTGCAGTTATTTTTTTTTGTATCGTTTCTCTTCTTTATGTTTAAAATGGCAAAATAATGGTAAATAATGTTGAAAGTTCCGTCAAGTTTTTCACAAGACTACACCCTACTATGACCTTCTCCCAATTATGACTTTTTACCTACTATGACTTTCTCCTCAATTGCGACCCACCAGTAATGATTTCTGTAAGGACGAGTGATACACGATATCAGACTAAATTACTTGACCACCGCTTTCAGCTTTCAGCTTTCCTCTTCTCGTCCTTCTGTCTATATTTTCTATCCATTTATATCTTACCTAGTTTTTTAAGTTTATCAAAAAAATAAAATAAAATACACTTCGCATATTTTTTTTTTCTTTTTTTGAAGGAGGGCAGTGTAACGTTTAAAGTTACTTGTGCCTTTTTCTTTCAAATTTAACTTTATATAACCCTTTTTAATGTTGACATACTTATTATATAACAATTACTAAATTATTACACTAGAGTACGCAATTTTCATTTAAATTAGACGCACTGGTTAGTACCAACAACTTCCGTTGACTATCTGGAGAGGAAGCGCTGTATGCTCACCTGATCCTTACCAATTCTCAGCCTTTTCGAATTGTGTAGTCGAGCTGAAAAGTCGATCGGCCATCTTCCCGAGACAACCGTGCCATAGAAAAATAAAGTACCTCATCGGCCTTCAGGCATTATCGTAACGAAATAAAGTTGCGTAGAGCAATAATCCATTGATTACCAAAAAAAGTTAATCAAAAAGTCTTGTGATTAACATTTAATTTTAGTTTGAATTTCAACCCACATCGTGATAATTTTCCTTAGCTTTTGTTTTTAGGTAATAGCTTTTCAAGGAATGCCTTATTACTTAGGGTCTTTCGGAGAGCCTTTTCTCTCAATAAGTCCAAAAGACCACATTTTCAAATTAACATTTCCGTGGAGCGTGGCATAGAGCTTTTGAAGGGATTCCTACCCTACAAGAAGCAAGACTCCCACTAGTCGATACGTGTGCCCCACATTCGACGACCATTATAGTCCCTTTTCTGCCTGGATTCTGGGCTAGAATCTGCAAGTTCCAGGTGCAGTTTCCTTCGTCAAATGGCCCAAGATGGATGGCTACCGTGCTCTGCCTTATGTTGGAATGGAGGCTTATATAAAGTTTCACTAATAACTTTTGATACCTTTTATTTCATAAAATCAGTTTTATAGTCAATTAACAAAATTAAGATAATTTTTTTTTATATGATTTTCATACAAATTTATTCTTGACACGATGACGAAAAATTAGCCTTCAGTTTATCGAATTTATCATGGATTTTTCTTTGCATAACTTTTAATCTTGCTTTAGTGGTACCGTCCTTGGTACACAGTTTTATTTTTGGTAGCGATTTTGCCAGACAATTTTCATTAATAGTGGATTTCAGTAAAAATACCTGGTTTACCCAAAATACTTATACCTTTGATTTCCAAAATCATAATTATGATGCTAACTCACTTTTCACCATAGATCATTTGTCAGATAACCAGCGTACCCTTGCTCAGTCAGTTTTGGATTCTTTTCACGAAATATCTAGCGACACTCAGCTTGGCAGAACAAATAAAATTTCTATGAAAATTGATACCGGTGATGCTAAACCTTTTAAAAGAAATCAATATCCCATGTCGCCATTCATGTTAAAAATTTTAAATCAAGAGCTTGACGATATGCTTAGATTAGGTGTCGTTGAACCTTCAAAAAGCCCATATTCTTCTCCCGTTCTTCTCGTGAAAAAATCCAATGGTGAAATGAGATTTTGATTTGATGGTCGATTTTTGAATGAGCAAACGAAACATGATAGCTATCCCTTACCTAATATAGAGCGAATTTTCAGCATGTTACGTGGTGCAAATTTTATATCTAGAATTTTCCGCACAATCCAGAAATGTCATAATATACAGGGGGTACCATTTAAAAAAATAAAGTTGTTACCAGCTAAGCTATTTTTGAGACACCTATATGATAAAAAATATATCGAAAAATTTCAAACAAAAAAACAAAATTAATGTGTGAGCGATTTTTCAAAAATTCTACCGTTTCCAAAATAATGAATTTATGCGGGACTTTATGAACTCACTGTATATTGATCAAGCGTTGGATACGTTATACTTCCTTTAAACGGCCCAATATTAATCCGAATCAATATATACAGGGCTTTCATTTCAAAACTTTCCTGTAACGTTATCTGAGTTCTGAGGTAAAAGACTTTTGTGAAAATACCAATCAAGCAAATTTATTGAGGGGTTGATTTACGGATCACAAATTCCCCCTCAATGGGTTTGTTAGCGATTTTCACAAATCTGTCTCTTTGCTCAGAACTCAGATAACGTGAGTGAGGAGTTTTGAAATGAATGCCCTGTATAATTATATTACGAGTGTAGAAAGTGACAAATTTCACACAAGTGTTTTTTCGCGCGATGCGGTAGCCGAGTGCAAAAATCACACGAGAGGTACACCATTTTTCCTACGACCAGAAACCGATTTATTTATCAATTTTCTCTTATTTTATTACTTTTCATTTTCAACACACGCGCTGAAAGTACTTTCATTCCAAGTATTGAAAGTAAATTGGTATGTCAATCACAAATAATGTCAACAGTATTTTCCACACGTGTGCTTAAAGTACTGAAAGTACTTTCAGCACGCGTGTGATATTTGGCACTTTCCAAAGAACCAGCTAGTGCGAATTCTGTCATTTTCGTATATGGTCGTAGGAAAAGGTAAATACCTATTTCAAACGAGTTTTTTACAATGCTTTTTCTACAACTGCAAATAAATTTTGCGAAACGTCGAACATTTTCAAAGAAACAAACTTCCGTTGGTGTTTTTTTTTCCTCAATCCTAACCCAATTGGATCAGAGTAAAAGACAAGAAATAATGTTCTTTATTTGGTAAATATATTTTTTGTAAACAAATAAAATGCCATATAAATAATGTAAAATAGTTGCATTAAAACTGTTTCCATTCACGATCCATTTCCGCCAATAATTTTCGTCTTTTTGCACGTTCATATCTCATCAGTCTTTGTAGGTTGCGGATCATGATCGTTGTTTCTGTTGCTTCTGGGACTTCTACTAATCCATTACACTCCAGGTATGCTTGTTCTTCATTGATATCAACGGTAAATTCGGCCTATAAATCAACGATAATTTAATTTATTTTTTATTTTTATGGTAATTTTGTTGCTACTTACTAAGCGATCTTCAACAGCTTTAACGTCTGGGCTTCGTGCTCGATAATTTTCAAAACAAAAGTTGTCAAATTTCGTTTGAATCGTTTTGGCGATGTCATCTCGATTTCTTAAATAAATTTTCAACACTGCATAGGCTGTTAGTGAACGTTCCCTTAGCATCAAAACAGTTTCTTGAGCTTCATCAAAATTATCTCCGTTCAGTGGTTTTATAATTGGTGATGTGGAATTGCCTTGTTTATCAAATTCATTAGCGTCGCAGGATTTTTCGACAGTCTGTTCCTGAAGTTGCAACTTATTTGTCAATTGATAAGAAAATAATTATCACAATTACCATTCGCATTTGTTCTGCTTTAAAATAATCATGAAGACTCGTTTTAACGTCCATTTCGTTCAACTGGTATAAGTTAATAATGCCATCCTTGCAAAAAGGGGAAAGTGAAAACTTATTCCAAATTTCCTGTTCATCATCAGGCAAACTTGTCCACAAACGACTCAAGGTGGTTTTTTCCTTGGAAGCTTTGTAGACAAGTTTTTTATCTTTTCTACTTCTTTTGCCTTTTTCATCTTTTTTTCCCTTTTTATTTTTTTTGTCCATTTTATATTTTTTGTCTTTTTTATCTATTTTGTCTTGTCTAACTTTTTCCTCTTTCTTTATTTTGCCTGCTGAAGAAGCATTCGATTTTTTTTTGCTTGACGAGTCTTTTGAACGTTTTACATGGCTCTTTGCAGGCTTTTTCATCTTTTCTCGTTTTAATGAATTAGACATCGGCACAATTCGAACTGAAAAAAAAATAGATCAAGGTTGTGTAACGACCCCGAAAAAAAGAATAAATAGTTAGTCAGCAGCATAACAAAAGTGTTTACTCAGCTAGAGGAATTCGAGGCAAACAGCTGAGTTAGTCGAGAGATAATAGCCAGTTAACAAGTCGATCGCCGAGAATTACTTTTTAAAAAACTTAAAAAAGTTGCCTAACAATATTTGGATAAAAATAAGAATATAATTATAAATTGAATGCTTTCAACTGACTGACTGTAAATCTAAGCTGAAAAGCTTTTATGACAATATAAAGTTAGTCAGCAGAAAAAGTGATTACTCGGTATCTTCTGGCCATTTAACTCCTCCATCCTCAAATTCAACTATCGGCCTAGCCGGGGTAGTTCAACGTCCATGTCCTCTTCTTTTCTGGGGGATGGTACTTGCTTCTTAAATTTTGGAACAATTTTCTTGTATGCCAAAATTATACAGCCAAGAATCAATAGGATGTATATTACTAAGGACCATATACTGGGATTTGTTTCAATTTGGCCAAGTAGTAAATCCGGTTGAACTTCTAGAATCTCGTTCTGAAGTTTGTGTAGCTCATCCAGCTTCAAGTCGTGTAAATGGGTACTTAAATTCAACGTAGGCAACAGAGTTGGCGTTTCTTGAATATCGGGAAACAGTATAGGTTGACTGCTGCTTCTGACTGATTTTTTAATGTTGGAGATCAGTTTCGATTTTATTTTCACTTGGCAACCTTTAGGAATACTGCATAGGTAAGTTCCAAAAATGCTTCTGGTTTGTTACATTTGATTTGGATGGTTTCTTTGGATGGAGCGATCATTATCCATTGATTTGTGTCGGCTAGTCGGTTCGTAAGAGGCTGTGTAATTTTCACCTCTGTTTGTTTTCATATTGAAGTGTTTTTATCAGAGTTCATCAACCTGATGGCACAGGGCATGTTTCCTTGGATTTCTTGGAGATTTTCGTTTCCACATACGTAGTACTGAGGGATAACTCTTTGACATTCTTCTTGTTGGTACGCGTAATGCAATTGATTATTTAGTAGAAATTTGTTTCGCGGTAAAACAACCTTAAACCGACTCATCAAAAATGGGTATTGAGTAAATATGGAAATATTCAAAAGACTGAAGTAACATTATAGGTATATGCAGAAGGTACGTTATTTTGTTGTTGGAAATAAAACAGTCAAGAGAAGTAATTTTTTCATATAATAGGATGCTCTCTAAATTCACTGGTATAGGCATTTGTGCAATACCAAATCGATTTTGCAGTCTAGTTAATTCGTTAAATAAGTCTTCAGATTTTATTATGCTCGGGTGCATTGTTTTAAGTTTAGAAAATGTAATCGAATTTTCGATGTCTTGCAATGCTGAATCAACTATCTCATAGGTTACCACTGTTATGTTTGTGTCAAAATATTACTAAATATGGTACTAACCAAAGTTAAAAAAGAAAACCCTGGCAGACGGTCGCATTCAAATCGCAGACGGGTTTAAATAGTCCAGTAAATGCGTGTTTAAAACTGCGGTTTTCGTAACAAAACTGCGAATTTTTTTCTCAACGATTTTATATGTTTTCGAGGTAGTTAGGGAGACGACCGAATTTTTCCTACCCCGATCGAGTTATGTGTCGACACTATTATCAATATATAGTATTATGTGCATCTATTAACCGGTATTCCTGCCTGAGAGCAAATGCTGCCGGAAATATCTTTTATTTACAATCATACATGTAATGTTGACTTTACTGACTTTTAAAAAGTTCGAAAATGTCACTTTTTTGACTTTTACTTTCGGCCCACGGGTCGAAAGTTTACTTTCGACCCGTGGGCCGAAAGTAAATGAAATTCTTAAAATTTATTGTATTTTTTGACTTTTACTTTCGGCCCACGGGTCGAAATTAAACTTTCGACCCGTGGGCCGAAAGTAAATGAAATTGTTAATTATTGTATTTTTTAGTTTTAATCCAAATGAAAATTTCAAAATTCGAATGATTGTAAATAAAATAGTATACATACCTCGGTGAAAAGTTTCATTACTGTCTCGAGATTTCAGTTAGAACTCGGCTGCGCACAAACACTTTCCACCTCGGTATGTAATATACTATTATTTTTAACCATATATGAAATGTTGTCATTGTTAAGAAGAAGTATTTGAGTTTTATTCTCCCGCTATAATTAGTTAGTTCTGTTCACCTAGTTATTACCTATAGAACCTGTAATTATTAGTATTGTCATTGTAAATTGAAATTGTCATTGTCACGCGAATTTGTCACGTATCTTTTCATTATAGTTAGACTCATTTCACTGTGTTTTATTAAACCTCAATAGGTTCATCTAATAGGTTACGGGCCCAGTTCACGTGCGAGTCTAAAACATTAACTTTCGTCATTTTAAATCGCGTTCAAGTCGTGAGTGATTTTTATTTCCGAGAAATTACGTTCAAGTCGTAAAACAAATAAAGATTGTGAAAATGGCAAGTTCTGTGAAAATTGATACGTGCAGCATTCCGAAATTCGATGGTACTAACTTTCAGCTTTGGAAGTTCGGCATAACAATTCTATTAAAAGCTGAAAAACTTATGAAAATTGTTGATGGAACCACGAAGGAACCAGATGATGAAACTAGTGCCGAGTGGGAAGCTTGGGACACAAAAAACACCAAGGCGCAGGTAATTTTGTTATCAAAAATATGCCAGGAACAAATGCAACATCTCATTAACTGCGATGACGCAACAAAAATGTGGAATAGGCTGATTTCAATTCATGAACAGAAAACAGAAATATCCCGAGAGCTACTATGGCAAAAGTTTTATGAATATAGAATGCCAGATAATGGAAATATTGCTGAACACATTTCAGCTATTGAACTTTTAGTACGACAGCTAAAAGACGTCAAAGAAACTATAAGCCCTAGCGCTATCTGTTCGAAGGTTATAAACAGTTTACCATCTAGATTCAATGCATTCAGAACTGCTTGGGATTCCGTAGCCAGTAACCAACAAACGTTTGAGAATCTTTCTGCTCGTTTACTAAAAGAAGAAAGCCGCATGTCTCATGACGATTCCGAAATGTCTCGTCTTGCACTCGAAGTCAAAGCTCTACAAAGCAAATTAGAATCTGTTACTGTAAATAAAAATAATCACAATAAGAAGAAAAATATCAACGATTTGAAGAAAAACTCGATTTGCAATTATTGTAAAAAGAAAGGTCATTGGATCAGAGAATGCCGCAAAAGATTGGCAAATCTTAAGAAAAATGACAGGTCTTTGACCTCAAATTCGCCTTCAAGTTCGTCAAGCTCCGCATTTATTTGTGATATTTCTTCTTTGTATACTGCAAGCTCCGATGTCGAAAAAGCTGAATGGATTTGTGACTCAGGTGCCAGCGTTCATATGAGCAGCGAAAGAAATTTATTTACCAATTTACAAGAGGTAAATGAACCAATATTTGTCCGAATAGCAAATGATAAATTAATAACTGTTGCTGGAAGAGGCACTGTAGAAATTCAAGTCTTCGCAAACAACCAGTGGCAAAACAAAACAATGACAGATGTTTTGTATATTCTAGAGCTCAGCAGGAATTTATTTTCGGTGGGAGCAATGACAGACAAACATTTTACGTATCATTCATACAAAAATCATTGTGAGTTCCGCGATAGCCAAAAAAAAGTTGTTTGTGTTGGATACAGAAAAAACAATCTATGGATCATGAAATTTAGAGTGAAGCCTCAACAGGAATGTCATGTAAGTACAATTAACAATTCATTAAAACTTTGGCACGAGCGTCTCGGTCATGTTAATTGTCATTACATCAAGAAAACTTCTGAGCTAGTATCCGATTTAAAAATCACAGAAAAAGAGCCGTTTTTCTGTGAAAGTTGCCAGTTTGGTAAACAGTCAAAAGTACCTCATAAAAATCTGTCTGTAAAAAGAGCTGAAAAGCCCGGTTTTATGATACACAGTGATGTCTGTGGGCCTATGAATATTCCCTCGCCTAGCGGTTCAAAATATTTTGTACTATTCAAGGATGATTGTAGCGGTTACCGCATGGTTTATTTTCTCAAACACAAATCAGAGGTCTTAAGTAAATTTGTAGAATACAAGACACTTGTAGAGAATCAAACCGGTAACAAAATGAAAGTTTTCAAAAGCTATCAAGGCGGTGAATACATAAATAAATCATTTAAAGACTTTTTACAGAAAGCAGGTATTTCACCCGAATATTCAGCAGCCTATACACCTCAACAAAACGGCAGATCGGAAAGAGAAATAAGAACCATTACAGAATGTGCCAGAACCATGCTTATCAACAAGAACGTCTCTCAAGAATTATGGTCCGAAGCGGTAAATTGCGCGGTATATATTCTGAACAGAACGGCAAACACTCAAATTGATAATATGACCGCATACGAGAAGTGGTTTGGCCGCAAGCCTACGTTAAAACATGTCCGCATTTTTGGAAGTATCGCTTACATGGCGATACCAGATCAGTTTCGCAAAAAGTTTGAGCCAAAATCCCGAAAATTATTGTTAGTAGGTTATGACGGTCATTCATCCAATTATAGACTTTGGGATCCTGAGAAACGTAGAATTGAAATCAGCTGTAATGTTAATTTCAACGAAAATGACCAATTTTCACCCAAAAAGGAAACATTTACCCTCTATTTTGACATATCAGAGAATTATGAACCACAAAATGAGACACTCGAAGTACCAGAAAATATAGATGAAAACAACCCTAGCGAAGAAATTACAGAAATAGAAGAAAATGCCGAAGAATATTTGAGTGATGAAGATTATCAATGTGAAGAAAATTTTGAGTTGAAAGATGAGAAGAGAAGAGAATTAAGAGATAGAAGCAAGTTGTCAAGACCCAATTTTTATACTGCCTATGCTAATTATTGTTCACTTTCCGAACCTACGACATACGAAGAAGCCATCAGCTGTAAAGATTCTGATAAATGGCGCCTCGCTATGCAAGAAGAAATAAACGATTA